CGGAGTTTCACTCTTGTTACCTAGGCTGGAGTGCAATGGCGCAATCTCGGCTCATCGCAACCTCCGCCTCCTGGGCTCAGGCAATTCTCCTGCCTCAGCCTCCTGAGTAGCTGGGATTACAGGCACGAGCCACCATGCCCAGCTAATTTTTTGTATTTTTAGTAGAGACGGGGTTTCCCCATGTTGACCAGGATGGTCTTGATCTCTCGACCTCGTGATCCACCTGCCTCGGCCTCCCAAAGTGCTAGGATTACAGGCTTGAACCACCACGCCCGGCCTCAGAAGATGTTTTTACTGATCAAGTAACATGAATTAGCGCCATGACCTAATCTTAAGGAAATAATTCCCAGCAGATGTGGAAAAGAGAGAGACCAGACTCCCGTCTGCATTTCATTTAGAAGCCAGTCATCATTTCTTTTCAGGTAGGATTTCTCACCCCCAACCCAAAATACAGTTTAAAATAAATAATGAATTTATACATTATCACTTATTTGGAATAACTCAAAGAACAATAATTACATTTCTTTCCTTTCCCCACCCCATACTGTTCCCCCAACTCCCCCCCCACCCCCCATAAGATTTGGTTGCTTCTTGAATTGGACATATGACTAATTGGGGCAAAAAACACAAGAGGGGAAAATAAATATGAGGCAAGTGGTTTTGGAAAACTCCATCAACAGAGAATCTAAAGACATAAACTGTCATAAAAATGTAGGGTACAGATATTGCTAGAACTTAGGACTTGATCAAATTGTGAAGTAATTACATAAAATGGAAATATGCATGAAGACTATGATCCTAGCAAAAGGTTCAAACCTTTGTGTAAGTTCTTCAGTGCCAATGCAAGAGTTGCTGTTTAAGCTTTTAGCTATCATGAAAACAGAATTGGGAAAAATAATCAGTTTACCGGAGCTACTTTTGGTGGCTTAAAATCTGCCATGATGAGAGGACTTATGCTGTGGAAATCAGTAAATGCTGCAAATCAGGGCTCTTCTTTCCTTTATAAAGAAGAGCTGGTTGACCAGCCTACCAATGAAAACAACTTTCACAGTGATTTCCACAGGGATTAATGAAATTCTTAGCACCTGTCACAAAGATCTTCCCCTATAGCTTTGGTGGTGGTGACAGCAATTTTAGGGAATAACTAAATGTTTCTTTCCATAAACATAGGACTTCTAATGCCCATCCTAGTAAGATCTGGCGTTTCATTATTTCTCTCAGAATTCAAATTTCATCAAGCCTTATTAGAAAATATTTCTCTACAAAATGGTTCCTGTTTCACTTGTCTTCATTAAAAACTAAAAGAGATAAAATACACTTGGGACAGGAAAACTTCCTGCTTTCTAGTAAGCAGAAATGGAACCACTTGATAAACTGTTTAGAGTTACTGGAACAGAGTCAAAGCCATAGAGAAACTAGACCTGCTTTTTGTGTGTGTGTGAATGACAGTGTTAAAGAATGTAACCTCTCTTAACTTCTCTACACCCCTTACAGACAAATTGCTTATACTGATACAACCCTCAATGGTAACTCACTTCGCACCTCCATTTTCTTTCTTGTTATCGCCAAGATTAAACAGCATGTTTGGGCATTATTTTGCATTTATCTAACCTTTTCCATAGAGGCCACACTGCTTCAACAGAACAGGTTTATGTACCTCACACGTCAGATCTTATCCAGGAACTTGGTAGTGACAGCTTGATAAGAACATCATGGCTTATTGAACTTGTTCTAAAAACAACAGCAGCAAACCACTCATCTCCTCACACTTTTTAATGACCTTGTTCTATTAGATGACCTTTAGATCCAGCAGATGCAATTACTGTGTGGCCTCAGAGAATACAGAGTGCTGAGGGTATGTGTATTACACCATTTTGTATTCATCTATGGCTTTGGTGGTGGTGGTAGTGATTCTGGGGAATAAATTAATAAATGTTTCTACAAATCTAGGACTTCTAATACCCATCCTAGTAAGATTTGGTGATTCATTATTTCTCTTGGAATTCAAATTTCATCAAGCCTTGCATTTTGTATTATATCATTAAACATTCTAGAGAGATCTGCATTTGCCTCAATTACCTATTGAGAAAGGAGAGATGTGGGGGTAGTTTTAACTTTCACCTTGCCAATGACTTCAACCAAAGAAAAAAACTGGTTTGTCATAAAATGAGAAAAAAAAAATTGCCGGGAGTTGTTTACTCCTCAGAATGTGCAGCACTGTCATAGACAATAAAAATACTAACTCATATAGCAAGGAAGAAATGTAAAAACTGAAACAAACAAACAAACAAACAAAAATGCTAACATACTTCCTTGTCTTAGGGTAACATCCCTAGGGTAAGACACATAAAGTAAAAATAATCCCAAATATGAAATTAAAAATTTAAAGACTAATTTTCTAACATGTTTTTGGTTTTTTTGAATTTGTTTTTTTGTTTTGTTTTGTTTTGGCAATTCATTTGGCTCCAATACATTCCTGTGACATTTCCAAAAGCTTTACTATGAACACATTTCATATAATATTGAACAGATAATTCTATTAACTACATTTTTAAGCTTTTTAAAAATTATTATTGCTCTTATTCAGTTAAGGTTATGGTGAATTTTATTATCATGGTGAAGTTCTTCTGATAAGATTCTAATCTCTATGGAATTTCAGATCTTTCTGCTCCTTGTGGTTAAAACAGGATGAGAAGCATTCAACTGAACTGAGATTTTAATTTTGTCATTCAGTTATCTTTTTAAACCTGCAAAATTATTCTCTAGCGTATGCCCTGGAGGTCTGTGGTTTCCTCTGTTTCTGGATAACACTGCACTGGTTAAGGTAGACACAATCCAGGAGGAATGGTAGAGAAGCCATAGGGTACTTCAACACAGATTTAGTGGTAATACATTTCAGAATAACCAACAGAGACTTTGTGAGTTTGGAAGATGAAATACTGTTTTCTCTGAAATAAAACCAATATTATAACCTTTTTGGTGAGGGGAAGATAGAAGTATTTCCAAACACTGGCTTATTTTTGGGGTGACTTCGAGTCTGACCACCTTACATTTGGGTGGGCTGACATTTTCCCAGAGCACCTCTATCATAGCCCTCTCCTCCTCTTTGAAGCTCTCTCGTTCTTCCTGAAGCAAAATAGAAACAGTTTTTGTTAGTACTGGGGGTCCTTCTGTCTTCTCACCTTTGGTTCCAGATATAATCATAAAAAAATTGTGAAATATTTCAGTTATTCCAAAATGTACAGAAGATGAGAACTGAGTACCCATCATCTAGCACTTAAAAAAAGTAAAATATTGCAAACACAAGTGAGCTCCCTGTGAATTCCCTCTCAGAGGCAACCGTTATTTCCACAGCTTTTTATACTTTTCTACATATGTGTACATCCATAAACAATACGTCATAATGAATTGTGTGTATTAATTTTTATATTGGTGGTTTCCTTTTTTCTCACATTATTTTAAAAATCTGCTACTACATATAGCTCTGATTTATGACTTTCACCTCTTATTCCATATTATGAGTATTTAACAACTTATTTATCCATTCTTTGGTTGATGCTTTAATGTATAACTTAGTACTCCTCTCCTTGAGCAATATTGTGAGAATTTCTTTAGGATTTCTAGGATCTAGGATTGGAATTTTTGGGTTATTGTATATACACATTTTTAACTTCACTAGATATTGCCAATATAAAAGAGGTGGAACCACCAGCAGTAAGGCCCACTAATCTGTTTAACGAGCCCTCAAGGTTCAAAGTTTAAGATTCAGTAGTCTGAAAGAGAGGTGGTAGTGGTGGGTAGTATGGCCAAGAAGTTACATTTCTGGCATGCTCTGAAGTGATGCTACTGCTTTAGTGTAGCATCTGGGATTATATTTTGAGAACCAGTGTTCTGTACTCTAGAGAAAGCCTATTCGATTACATTGTTTTTTTTTTTGTTTTTTTTTTGAGATGGAGTTTTGCTCTTGTTGCCCAGGCTGGAGTGCAATGGCGCGATCTCGGCTCACTGCAACCTCCGCCTCCTGGGTTCAGGCAATTCTCCTGCCTCAGCCTCCTGAGTAGCTGGGATTACAGGCACACGCCACCATGCCCAGCTAATTTTTAGTATTTTTAGTAGAGACGGGGTTTCACCATGTTGACCAGGATGGTCTCGATCTCTTGACCTTGTGATCCACCCGCCTCGGCCTCCCAAAGTGCTGGGATTACAGGCTTGAGCCACCGCGCCCAGCCTATTAAATTACATTCTGAAAGAGAGAGCTAATGTGACATAATCTGAAAAGAAGTAGCTGGTGAGGTTTTATCAGGTTAGTGAAATTAGCCTGTGATATAATTTTAGCATTCAGACTCTTATTTATTTATTTATTTTTGAGACGGAGTTTCACTCTTGTTACCCAGGCTGGAGTGCAATGGCGCGATCTTGGCTCACCGCAACCTCCGCCTCCTGGGTTCAGGCAATTCTCCTGCCTCAGCCTCCTGAGTAGCTGGGATTACAGGCACGCACCACCATGCCCAGCTAATTTTTTGTATTTTTAGTAGAGACGGGGTTTCATCATGTTGACCAGGATGGTCTCGATCTCTTGACCTCGTGATCCACCCGCCTCGGCCTCCCAAAGTGCTGGGATTACAGGCTTGAGCCACCGCGCCCGGCCTCAGACTCTTATAATAAAGATAATATACAGTAAATAACGAGTATGAATGGTTGTCATCAAAAGTTAAATTCTTAATGAGTTTTTATATTCAGAATGGGACCTCTGCATCTGCTCTTGGTATTGCTGTTCTGAGAAGGACAGAGGAGTAGGCAGGGGGCCAGGTGTCAGGCTGGGCATGCAGTGAGCCTGGCTGATGTTACTTAGAGTGTTAAAGTATCTTGACTGTGTCCATAAAACCCAGGCACTGGCCTACATGAAGGTGTGAATGTTCACTTGCGGGTTCCTCAAGACTAAAGGCATGAGGCTGGCTTGGATATTCTGAAATATTTATATGCAAAAAACCTCACTCAAATTTATATTCTATTTTTTTTTATAATCTTATATTTTACTCCAAAGTTAGTGAAGGGGAGGTTTCCCACAAATTTTCTTTCTGTAAGAACTTCTTATTAAAAAATCTTGAAAAGGAAGCCTTCACATATTTTAGGGTGAAAGGACACAAACAGGTTTGCATAGTCTGCAAATGGTTAACATGTAACGTGGAAGGAAAATTATTTTATTTCAGATTTAGCAATATAAAAGGTCAGTTAGGAAAAAACACATATACCAGTAACTGAAAGCATTTACTTACATCATTCCACAATTTGCAAAACAAGGTAATTGTTTTTCAAAACCAGACAACAGGTTCGGAAATACTTCTTTTCACACCCCTACGTGATGCTGTTGGGAACAATGGCTGTTACAAGGCCATTGCTGGTACATTTCCGGCAAGTTCTAGTTACTGTTATTCTTATTTTATCTTCTTTCTTTTTTCTCTCTCATCAGCTTTTTGCTTTCTTCCCTCCTCCTTTTATTCACTGGATTCCGAGGATCATAGATTTCAAATGTATCTGAGTCTTGCATGCTTGCATCTTTCACTTTTCTGCTTTTATCCTCAAACTGAAGTACATGTGACATCCTAAAGAGGGAGAGAGATGGTTCAGTGATTCTTGCATGGGCACTTAAAGCAGAAATTCTATACTCTACTATCATTGGCATAATGAACCATAAGCGTACGGAACACCAAGATGGGTTTGTTGTTTACTGGTGCTTACACCACATGGAAACCAACTTCTCAGAAAACTCTTAAATTTGAACAACATGTCTGGAGTTTGTTCTGTTGGTTTATATTTCTAGTAGAGTATCTTTGCCTCAGTTTTCACTTGAGGTTTCTCCCGTGATGGGAGGTTAAAAGAGTTCTAGACAGAAGCGTTCCTCAAAGTAAACTCAGAGGACACTGCTTCCTTTAAAGAACACATTCCTTTAGCCAGAGTGAGTCAGGTTGCAGAACAAAACTCAAGACAATAAACTAGTCCTATCTGATTTTAAAAATTTTCAACAGTTAGATGGGTCAAGAGTAGGGAATACATTAAGCTAATTAAAAAATGATGTTCAAATGGTGTTATGACTCCCTTTCCTGGGGAATTGCTGGTTTAAAAAAATATTTTCTTCATACAAAAGGAAACTAAACTTTTGACATAACTCTATGGACTAATTTCCTTCTACTGTTGGTTACAACAAACCTAACCTCTCCTGCTCTCTTACTTCATCAAAAGCTTACTGGTCTTAAGGTATCAGCATATGCTGGAATCCTAAGAGGTCATAAGCTAGCTATCTTTAGGATCAGTGAAATATGTTAGTAATTCGCTGTGCCCCATACAAGGTGTCAGGAATAAACAGGGAAGTCAAAAGAGCAGACTTCAGAACAGTTGAATGAGTTTGGAAGGAGAAAAGTTCAATTTTTAAACTAAAACTCTTAAGTCTTTTCCTACCAGTTATATCCTATACACACTTTTCTTCATCACAGCAGATAGGGTTAAACTGTAGTATTAATACTTCTTATATGGCTGCTGTAACTTTCAGATGAAACCCAAATATGATGCTAATATCTTTTGCCCAATATAAGCAGAGATCTGGGCAGTAAGTAGGCAGTAGTGAAGATCCCTCATCCTTTTCTCCCTACAGCAGCAGAAATTATGAGTGATATTTACTTGTGTGGCAAACTCCCATGGATATACCCAGATTTTAAAGAATCATAAAAAGATTTTAGGAGGGAAATAAAATGTCACAATTCTAGTGATACCATCATTACTAAGGGTTCAGTAGCTGCTACTCACCAGGGCTAATGAGTTGAGACTTATGTACCATTTCTACCTTCTTTTGTCCCACCTAAGAAAGCTTACTGGAATGTAATAAGTAGGAGTGATATATATGGATGATTTAGAATCTACTTTAATTTACTGAATGACTTAGGTCACATTCGCATTTTTATACTTCATTATTATTATTATTATTTTTGAGAGAAGATCTTGCTATGTTGCCCCAGATGGTCTCAAACTCCTGGGCTCAAGTGAGCACTTTGCCTCAGCCTTCCAAGCAGCTGGGATTACAAGCACGTGCCACCATGCGTGGAACTATATTATTAATGATACATTATTTGTATCAAATTTAATAACTGATCTCAATACCTGAACATGCTATTTCACATGTGAAGTTGCCAAGTTTTTATCTTCCATTCCTTTAGTAAACACCTTTATTTAAAAAATGTATTGTATAATCATTGCAAAGTCTAATATTCTTGTGCTTTCAATTTCCCAGTGTTTAGATATTAGCTTCTGAAAGTAAGACAATCTCTAACTCCCAGAAAAAGGCTGACTGTTTTACAGTCATGGTATTAAGTAAACCACTAGAATCAGTTGGAACAACAATTAAACCAGATTTAAGCAATTAATGATGTCTCACCAAGGTCTAAATGATCAGTGACAATTCACTTCAGTAAATACACCTCTGAAAACCAATTAACCAGTGATAGCCACATGCTTTTGAAAGTTGACCCATCAGCTGCAGACTCACTCCAATGAATATGCTTCTGAAAGCCAGCCTATCAACAATAGTCTCTTTTGAATAATGGTGCTTTTGAGCCTAATATCTACACCTAAACAATTCCTGACCCCAAAACACTATGTAAGATTTGCCACCTGCTTTGTCTAGAGGAACTGTGCCTAAAAGCACAGCTCTTCTTTACTTAAGTAATAAATTAAGCCCTTTTTTCTCCCAGTTATTGAGAGGTAGCCTTTTTCTTCAACACTTCTTACAGTCTTTGCTGCATCCCCCACAAAATACAATCTTTAAAATTGTAATATTACCACTGATGAGGAGTAACTGCAGAAGAATGGTAGGACTGTTCCGTTAAAGGTCCTTTACCACACATCATGGGGAGTCTAGACCCTTCTACTGCACTTCGGTACATGCTTAGCAGCAGTTTTCCAAGTGCTTATGGGCTGGCTGTGTTGATGTCTAATCCATCACCAGGAAGTGTAGCAAGAACCATACGCCCTTTAAAACAATTTCATCAATACTCCTGGACTGATATGAGAAAACAAACCTACTATCTTATTAATACCTCTTCATATACATATTCTTCTATTTAAAAAACGATCCTGTTCTCTGCCCAGAAATACAGATGTTTTTTGTAATATCCATTTCTAGGGATATTACATGGATTCTCCATGTTTCAAAAATGACTTGATCAGAAAGTTGTCAATTAAGAATATAAAAAGGCACCTTCTTACTTTCTATGCCACGAGAGAATCTTGCAACTATTGGATTTAGTTGTCTCTGGTATAAAAAATGAACTCTAGACACATGAATAACAGCACAAAGTCTGCAGAAACAGATTTCGTTACAAATTTGAAAAAACCATAGAGCCGTAAGTTAAAGGAGCTGTCTTTTTCAACTGTTTGTTTCACACACCACTGCACTAAGCAAGTTCAACATTTTGATTAATAACAAACCTAAACCCAGAGGAAAGAAAGGGCTATCAGCTTACAAACTACTTCAGCTTTAATATCATAATACTTAGCATGGCTGGTTATTTGGCAATAATATTTAATCTTTAAGAGAAATAAAAGCATAATCAAAATGCTTCATCCACTTATCTTTCAACATGCTTTGGTCACTTCATTTTGAAAAGCAAAACAAAACAGTTATTATGATTTTCAGCATAATAAATTCCTGACCTACGTGCCTCTATAAATCACAGATTGTATGAATTGAAAGCGTGCCTGCACGTCACGGTCTCCTATGAGGATACACAAGCAGACAGAGAATACAGACTTAATTTGAGTACAGGGGGTCTGATAGTTTACAATCACGTATGTCCCAATAACTCTATCCACTCTGTGGCTGGTTATGGAATTGGCCCAAGAAGAGTAGTGAATTTTTTTGGAATTAATTACACACTGATCACTTACATATGAAAATTGTAGAGCTTGTTCACTTGAAGGCAAAAATAAAAATTTAGGTTTGATTAATAAAAAATTTCACATAGGCTCAGATTCTCAAATAACATTGACTTTATAGTGTGTTACAGAAATAGGGAGGAGGCTTACTGTTTTCACAGAGGTTGTGTTTGACAGGAAAGTGGTTTTTTGTTGTCTCTTTTATTTTTGGTATGGGGCTATGTAAAATTATAAACAGAAGTAAACAACTGATTGTTCAAAAAGGACCGAGACCTAGACTGACCTCACTAACTTGATATTCAGTTTTTAAAGTTCTTCCTCAATTGTGAAACAGACTAAAATATGATAGCAATTTGTTTCAGTGGGAAATATCAAGAGAGGAACTGATTCTCAGACACACAATAAGTAGCCCAATATAGAATTCCAACATTAGCAATTCATTTCCAATTTAAATGAACTTAAATTATTTATACTTATATAATGTAAACAGCTATATTTTTCATTGAGAGTTCTATAAATATCTCCTTCCCACAACCAAGCCACCCTAACTTAGGAACTTACCACCCAATCCTAAGATTGTTGCAGGTGTCCTAATTGTTCTATATCTGTACTACTCCCTTCCTAGATCCAAAGCTGAAAAAATAATCTCCTTACACGTTTCCTTTATAGCATTCTTTTGATTAGAAACTATTGGTTATCATATTAGACTGAAGCAAATACCTCAGTCTGATCCTTAAAAACCCTCCAACAACTGGTGCTTCCTATTTCACCAAACTTATTTCATTTATTTCATCAAGTTTCCTCATTTTGTAATTGCCTGTTTACTTAATTGTGAACAGACTCAGTTGTTTGAGATAGTCTGAGTCTTGTTCACTGTTGTATCCCCAGTGCCAAACATGGTGATTTGTGCTGGGAATAAGGCCTTCAGACCCTTTGTACTGGTCAGGCCTGTTGGCTGGTACTAGAAGGATTGCTAAGCTAACAGTCGATTTCCTTTTGTGTGCAGAGACTGTCTTATATTTTGATGACAAACTCCCTAAACCATCTCCCAGACTCTGCAGAAAGTCTCAGGCTCAGCGTTTAAGTCCACCTTTTTATGATCTCTCATAGCTCAGCAAATACTGGTAGTTGCTTTTCCACTCATTCATATTAGTGATAGATTGCTAGTTTTTATTCCCTTAATAGACTGCAGTGAGAACATGCCTTATGTTGTTCTGCATCTCCTATAGAACCTGATGTAGAACTAGAGAGAAGGCGCTTTTTAATTTTTATTTTTTAAAGCAATGTTTCTCAAAGCATAGTTCTAGAGCCCCTGCATCAGATTCAAATTGCATGTTAAAATCACCAAGTGGCTTTAAAAACTATCAGTGCCAGGCTTCCAACTCCAGAGTTATTGATTTAATTGTCCTGGGATGGGGTCCCAGCATTAGTAATTTAAAAAAATGTTCCTAGTTATTTTTAAATGCAGTCAAAGTAAAGGGCACAGAAAAAAAGCTTAAGAGCCTTTATGCTTTCAGATTGATTGATTTCATTAGCCCTTTGTCCTTGCCCCTTCAGAGATGGAGAACAGCTGGTTCCTAATGATAAACTACTTGTAGAAACTCAAATAGCCTCTGAGTCTATTATTTGAACTGAATAATCTCAAGTGCATTATTTATTTCTTATATATATGATTTGA